ATGCTCGAGCATGCGCAGTTCGGCAGCCTCCCCCTCCCATCCGACTCTTCCTCCCCGGCATCTGATCGTGCCGGGGAGCGACGCGACGCGGCTCAGGGGATCCGTGGGATCCTGCCGCGGCGTCTCAACTTTGGTGCGGCTTTTAAAAGCCGCACTTTTCCCTGTGTTTTCTCTGCCGTGTGGCAGGGGCCTGGGGATTATTAGGATGTAGTAGGAAGAAATCAGCCAGTATCATAATGTCCCTGTATAAATCGATGGTGCGTCCTCATTTGGAATACTGTGTACAATTTTGGTCACCACACCTCAGAAAGGATATTATGGCATTGGAAAAAGTGCAGAAAACAGCAACTAGAATGATAAAAGGGTTGGAACACTTTCCCTATGAAAAAGGTGAAAGTGCTTGGGGCTCTTAAACTTGGAGAAATGACGACTAAGGGGAGACATGATAGAGGTTTTCAAGATTATGCATGGGAGAGAGCAGGTAGAAAAAGAAATACTTTTCTACCCTTCTCACAATACAAGAACTCGTGAGCACTCAACAAAATTGCTGAGCAGTCGGGTTAGAACAGATAAAAGGAAGTCCTTCTTCACCCAAAGAGTGATTAACGCATGGAATTCACTGCCATAGGAGGTGGTGGCGGCTGCAAGCGTGGACGGCTTCAAGAGGGAATTGGATAAATATATGAAACAGAGGTCCATCAGTGGCTATTAGCCACAAGATATAGATAGGAACTCTCAGTCTGGGGCAAGTGATGCTCTGTATTCTTGGTGCTTGGGGGGGGGCAACAGTGGGAGGGCTTCTAGTGTCCTGGCCCCACTGCTGGACCTCCTGATGGCACCTGGTATTTTTGGCCACTGTGTGACAGAGTGTTGGACTCGATGGGCCATTGGCCTGATCCAACATTGGCTTCTCTTATGGGGTCGCAAAGAGTCGGACTCGACTGTGCGACTGAACAACAACAACAATGTTCTCATGTTATCAAACCAAGATGGACACATCTGGAGGCTTGGACAATGAAATATAGTTCATCGGTCATCGGCATATTGATGACACCCAACCCCCAAGCTCCAGACAATCTCGCTCAGCTTCATGTGTGTATTAAAGAGCATGGGTGAGAAAACAGAGCCCTGTGGCTTGAGTGAGAGCATAGAATCCTCTGGTCATTCCACAAGATAAATCCCACCCAATTGATTCTGCACCTCCGGTGGAGACTCTTTGTGTCTGGTCAGACAGAAAAGAGTGAAATCACTGAAGGGCTGTGCCCTTAATACCGACTCCATATTCAAGCCGCCCTGAGCCCGCTCGCGGGGTAGGGCGGGGTAGAAATACCTGAATAAATAAATAAATAAAATAAAAAGCTGGTGGGTAAGAATAGAGTGGTCAACTCTGTCAAAGGCTGCTGAGAGGTCCGACAATATCAATAGGGGAGATTGTCCCATGTCCAACTTTGAACAAAATTTTTTCCAGCAGTGCAACTAAAGCTGTCTCGGTACCCAACCCAGACTGAAATGGGCAGATGTGTCATCCGGGAAGCCCTGGAGCTGTTCTGTCGCCACGTGCTCCGTCATCTTCCCTAGAAAAGGTAGATTGGAGACTGGCCTGCAACTGGCCACCTCATCCCTAGCCAATGCTGGGTTTTTTGAGCAGCAAACTAATAAACTGCCTCCTTCAAAGGCCTAGGGAGGTCCCCCTCAATCAGGGAGGAATTGATGGCAACTCGAATGATAAAAGGGTTGGAACACTTTCCCTATGAGGAAAGGTTAAAGCTCTTAGGGCTCTTTAGCTTGGAGAAACGACGGCTGAGGGGTGACATGATTGAGGTTTATAAGATCATGCATGGGAAAGAGCAGGTAGAGAAAGAGGTACTTTTCTCCCTTTCTCACAATACAAGAACTCGTGGGCACTCCATGAAATTGTTGAGCGGTCGGGTTAGAACGGATAAAAGGAAGTACTTCTTCACCCAAAGAGTGATTAACACATGGAATTCACTGCCACAGGAAGTGGTGGCGGCTACAAGCATGGACAGCTTCAAGAGGGAATTAGATAAGCATATGGAGCAGAGGTCCATCAGTGGCTATTAGCCACAAGGTATAGATAGGGGCTCTGGGGCAAGTGATGCTCTGTCTTCTTGGTGCTTGGGGGGGGGTCAACTGTGGGAGGGCTTCTAATGTCCTGGCCTCACTGGTGGACCTCCTGATGGCACTGGTATTTCTGGCCACTGTGTGATACAGAGTGTTGGACTGGATGGGCCTTTGGCCTGATACAACATTGGCATCTCTTATGTTCTCTTATGATGGTTTTCACTAATGGCTTCAATACATGTTCCCAGTGAGATTTTAAAAGCCGGGATGGGGATGGGTCCAGAACGCGAGCAGTGGCCCCCATGCTCCAGGGACCCTGCCAGCATCCATAGGTAGCATCAGTCTGAAATGATTCATAACAAAATGGCACGCAGTCACCTCTCGTGCCTCAGGTGCCAGATCTGCACTCGACTCGGCCTCCAAATCAGAGCGGATGAATGAGATTTTGTCAGCAAAAAGCCCTGCAAAAGCATCATATCTGGGGGGCCAGATCTTCACTCCCAGCAGGGTTGGACTTAAGTTTTATCAAGTCATGAACCACTTTAAACAGTTGAGCTGCTGATGCCTTGGTGGTAGGGTTGCCAGGTCCCTACCTGTTGCCAGCTGTGGCATTGGAAAAAATGCAGAAAACAGCAACTAGAATGATAAAAGGGTTGGAACACTTTCCCCATTTCTGTCTGGGTTCAGGCATGGGTTGGGTACCGAGACAGCTTTAGTTGCCGCTGTCCTGGAGTCCTCTGACTGTTGCCAGTAGGGGGCTTCAGCCTGCTGTCCTGGTTACCACAGAGCTTTTTCTCGGGTGCTAGAGCGTTCCGCCCCCCTCCCACAACATGCTCTGCGTGATGACGTCACCTCTGGGGGACATCATTGCGCTGGGCACATTGGCGCAGACGGGGCTGCTCGGGGGCAGAGCCCCCTGCCAGCCAGCTGAGTGGTGGTGGATTTGGGGCCTGGAGAGCAGGTTAAACCACCATCTCCATTGGGGGGGGGGGGATGGCAACCCTACCCGATGGCAGAGAAGAATTTCTTCTTCACTGTCATCACCACCACCTCATCGGCCTGCAAATGGGCTCTCTGGCAGCTCAGTCTGATTTATCCTGAGTCGTCCGCTAACATCACTCTAGTCATCTTCTAGTCTGCTTCATACCATCCAACTGCCTGGTAGAGCCAGGGGCTGGGGGCCTTGCAGGCTATAGAACAGGAGGATGCCAAGAAGCAACCCTGTTCCTGTCCCCAGTCAGCCCATCATTCCATGCAGCTACATTGGTACCCAGAGGGTGTGTTCAGACCAGGGGTCGTTTCATAGAAGTAGAGCTAGGGGAACTCATTAGCATAACTCATTAGCATATGCCACACCCCCTGACATCACCGGAAGTGTGTCCTAAGGCCACACACCCCACCCCCAACGGTCCCAGCCGCCGCCGCTGGCCTTGCAGCTCCACTGCCGAGCCCCATGAGGGGCCCGGCGGTGGACCTGCAAGGCCGGCGGGAGTGCAAGGAAGCCCCGCGAAGGCCCTCCCTGGCCCCAGGCAGGCAGGGGTGGGGAGAGGAAGGGAGGAAGCAACTTACCCTCCCTCTTCTCCTGCCTCCTCCTGGCTGAATGAGGGCCGGAAGCGGGGCGGCCGGAAGGAGGGGGCGGGGCTTCGTCATGTGCCCCGCCCCCGTACCTCACCTGGGGGAACTGCGATCCCCTGCGATTCCCCCCGAAATGACCTCTGGTTCAGACGCACCATTTGATCTGGTGTTGTGACAGTTCAGCAACGGATTTTATATGCACGATCACACCGTCAACATCTGCCTCCCGTCCCCAGCCATTGGTTTCCAGCTCAAAACCCCTTTAACCTGGAGTATTTTGTTACCAGGTCCCAAAGTGGTGTTTTCTCAGCTCTCCCATTTAAAGCCGCATTTCCCCCCTGTGTGATCACTCCTCCAGTGTCAAGCCACTTCCGATGATTTAAACCACCTCCCCACTCAGAAGCCCAAGGCTTCCGCTTTTTGGCCGCCGGTTTTTTTTTGTGCGTCGGCGGTATGCGCATAAGTGGAGCTCCTCTCCCGCGTCTTTAAAACCAACATTTAAATGGTCGCTAGTTTTGCGTATGGGATCCCAAAGAGGCCAGTTTTGGGTGAAAAGTTTAAAGGGAAGTCTTCTGTCCAAGCGGTGAAATCACGGTGCTCTGCGGAACTGTCAAGCGAAATCCGTGATTTGCCCTAGTGGCTCTGTGCATGCGCGAGGATAAAGTTTTTCAATTCCATGGATGAACAGTTATGCGCATGTGCAAACTGAGAAAAAACCCCAAACCCCTGACCTTCGCTCCCGTGTGATCGCGATTGTCCAGAGTAAAAATAATAGCGTCAGAACCGGACCAGTTTAAACTGCTCTCAGCACACCATCTGAACGCACCCACAGAGTCACTAGGGAGGCTCTGAAAACCCCATTCCCATAGTTCAGAACATGAAAAGCAGCTCGTGATCTCTTCCTTGTATGAAATCTCTCACAAAATGGCCAGTGATTTCATGAGGTGAATCTGGGGGGAAATGTCCAGTACAGGCTTAATGTGTGGAAATGGGAGGCCGAAGCTTTTCATGGAAGGGAGCGTAAATGACATCACTTGGTAAATAACATCCCCTTAAGCTTCTATCAAAGGGGTAGGACCACTTTTTTCACCAGGCTTGTTGATAACCCTATTTAGGTCTTGTGGATCTTCTATTAGTGCCTTCCCCTGGCGCAACGGACTTTCTCCTCTTGCACAGTGATCTTCCAATGGCCACCTTCTCGCACCAGGGAGGATCCTGCCAGTTGTAGAACAGATTCATGGGATAAAGCCCAGTGGAAAGTACATTGACCCAACTTCCATTAAGAAGAGTAACTGAACATACAATATGGTTAGATCCAATTAATGTTCTTTGAATTCTTTCAGGTTTTAGTCACCCTGTACTGGCTGGGGAGAACGGCAAACAACAGCACCTCTTATAGCGGAGCAACGCTGAACCTGAAGGAGTTTGAGGGCTTGCTAACCCAGATGAGAAAGGTATTTTTGTTGCTTTGGGGGATAGAAATGAGTTTTGCATTAAGGACTTGCATCCCTCCTTCACACTGTGGCTTACATTCCAACAGGTTTTATTAGGGGACGGGGGTAGCTGTTACGGTTTGAGAAACATATGGATGATGGGCAGTGGAATAGCATATAAATGAGCCGATCAAAAGTACTGCCTTAATCAACTATTCTTCCAGAAATCAAATGGACATAACGAGGCCTGTTTTGTTTTGTTTTAGGGTGTGTGTTTTTTTAAGTGATACTAATGTTGTCACCAATGCTCCCTCTAAGCTGTGGAGTCTTGTGAGCAAAAAAATCTACTTTGTGAGCTACCGGCATTAAAGTTGTGAGCGAGCGATTTGGCTACTGCATACATTCGTTTGCTCTGGAGCCCCATCCTTCCTGAGCTAAGACAAAAATGTGTGAGCTGGAGGCTAAAAAACTGTGAGCTAGCTCACACTAACTCAGCTTAGAGGGAACACAGGTTGGCACTATTGCTAGCATATGTTGGTGCTCTCCTTGTAGCAGTAGTCTGCTAAACTGAACTCTGATATGATTTTTTTTCACTGATTGCTTCCACGCGGGAGATGTTACCCTGTACAAACAGCAGGTTACCCGCATGATTTTGGGGCACATTCACTTGACGGTGTGTCCAGTCCAGAGACAACTTGTGTGGCTTCTGCATTTTTCCATGGTGAGCCAGACTGAAGAGAAATCTCTTTAAATCTAGTTCATCTTGGAAACCTTGAGTTGGCTGCCCGCAGGGTCCCCATGTGGATACTATGCCTGCAGCAGCCAACCTGTGGAAGGGCCGAAGGTAAGTTGGAGTTAAATGTTTAAAATGTTGGAGCTAAACTCTCCATCCCCCCACACACACCTTTAGCCCTTTAGTGGGCTTCTTGCCTCGTCGAACCATGGAACATGTGTGTGTATGTGAAATATGTTATCCATACACAGTATACCAGGGCTATTTTTGGGCAGGAACGCACAGGAACGGAGTTCCGGCTGGCTCCCAAGTTGGCCACGCCCAGCAGGAACTAATTAGCATAATAGGCCACACCCAACAGCAGAAACTCATTAGGATTGGCTACATTAGGGGTGTGTGGCCTAAAATGCAAAGAAGTTCCTGCTACAAAAAAAGCCAATAAACAAAGTAAATAGAATAAGAAGCAAAAGGTGGGTGTGGCTGGATGACCACACTTCTGGTAACATGGGGGTTGTGGCCTAATGGGCTAATGAGATGTTCTGTCAGGGTATGGCCTAATATGCTGATGAGTTTCTGCTGTTGGGTGTGGCCTATTATGCTAATATGTTCCTGCTGGGCTTTTTCTACAAAAGGAGCCCTGAGTATACTATCCCCATCTGTTGCTGTGCAGATAAGAAGGAGATCTGGGCAAGCAGTTATGACTATCAGATAGGTGATGGCTGACTGCACCCGGGCCTCAAAAAAATATCCCTTCCTGTTGAAGAGCCCTTACAGTTTCCATCCTGGAAAGCATCAAGGATTCCTTGGGGGGGGGCAGTGTTCAAATGCAGTATAAGCTGCCAGCAAAGGTATGTGCGTGCATGCACATGAGAGGGAGAGGGACAGAACACTGAGGTTTATTGGGTCAAATAATAAAAAGAATGATGGGCCATGCGAAGGGTTTGTGGGCATCCTGCAGACTGTAGACCAGCCAGGCTGAGACTGTGCTCCTTGGAGAGGTCGCTGGAGATCAATTCATCGTCCTCACTGGAGCTGCCATCTCACTCTGGCCTACTGCAAACCATGCCCTAGAGCAGAACAATGTTATTCATAGCTCCTTGGTATTATTTGGTCATTGGACTGCAAGAAGATCCAATCAGTCAATCCTAAAAGAAATCAACCCTGACTGTTCCCTGGAAGGCCAGATAATGAAACTGAAGCTCAAATACTTTGGCCACCCAATGAGAAGGGAGCACTCACTGGAGAAGACCCTGATGCTGGGAAAGATTGAAGGTCAAAGAAGACGGGGACGGCAAAGGATGAGATGGTTAGGCAGTGTCATAGATGCAACCAACATGAAGTTGAGCCAACTTCAGAGGATGGCGGAAATTAACAGGAGGGCCTGGCGTGATCTGGTCCATGGGGTCGCGGAGAGTCGGACTCGACTGTGCGACTGAACAACAACAAAGAGCAACAACCCCACACCAAGCAGAGCTTCCCTCTTTTTTTTGCGCCATGTCTTTGTTACTTTCTTTGGCGAGTGCTTATATATGTCAACAGAATACAGAAGCCTTGCTTCAACAGCTAATCTGCAACAGTCACCTTAGCCAGGGTTGCCAGGGGGGGGGGGTTGGGGGGCATTCCAGGTTGGGCGGGGATGCCCCAAGCCTCACCCCCAAGAGGAACCACCCACCCAGCCACCCCTCTCCCTCCCCTGCTGCTGGATTTTAAGGGCTTCAGCTGATCAGCGGGGACCCTGTGGCCCGCCAACCAGCTGGAGGGCCCTTTAAATCTAGCGGGAGGGAGGGAGAAGGGCGGTCGTGGCTGCATGCTAGACTCACAAAAAGACCCTTTAAAGGGTCTTTTTGCACGCAAGATGGGGGCCACAGCATGCAGGGCTGGGGAAAAGCAGTCCCGCGGTCCGCAACCTCTGACCCGCTCGCTGCAGCACCCACCCTGCTCCCCAGGAGCGGATTGAAGCCCCTAGAAGCAGGGGAGCCCCAGTCCGGATCTGAGGACTAACAACCCTAACCTCAGACAATCAAATGTCCATATGAAGACTGTGATTGTGAACAGGGGTCATTTCGTAGAAAAAGAGGTGCAGGAGCTCATTAGCATAACTTATTTGTATATGCCACACCCCCTGACATCACTGGAAGTTTGTCAGAAGGCAACACCCACCACTCAGGCTCCACTGGACAGTTCTGGATTGCTAGCTGTTGGGGGGGGGGAATGCCCAGATCTGTCCTTGCAGAGGAGGGAGAGCTTGTGCCTGAATAAAACTTGGTCTTAAAGGTGCCACTGGACTGTTTTGGGCTGGGGAGCCAGGTGGGGCCCCTGCAACTTACCGTACCTGGCTGCTTCTTGCTCTGACTGAGGGCTGCTGGGAGCAGGGGGTGGGGCTTGTTGCATGTGCCCGCCCCCTGGGCTCTTTACTGCCGGAGCTCTGCTCCTGTGCGCTCCTGCAGGAAATGACCCCTGATTGTGAGTGACATGACATTCCACACGGTCCTATTCAGCAGCGTATTCCTTCGTTTGTAAAATGGTTTCCTGTGATAAAACTACTGCCATTTCACCAGGAACTGACTGCACACTGTTTTTTTCCTTTTGCTTCTGGTCTTTTAAGCAAGTTTTTAGGACCTTTTACTTATGTACTACATTATGTTTGCATCTTACAGTGCCTCCAAGGAAAGAAGAAAATATGTGATTCCTTGCATGGCCCTGCATGAAGCAGACTAAAGCGGCACAAGCTTTGCTGGTGTTAACTGTCACAAACACATCCTGGTTTGTGTGTTTGTGCATCTGTTCCTTGGTCCTACCACCCCAAAGTGAAAACCCAGCCTTTTACATGTATTAAGCAGTAAAGTGGCTAGTTTTGCGGATGACACTAAGTTGTTTAAGGCGGTGAGAACCAGGGAGGACTGTGAGGCTCTCCAGTGGGATATGTTGAGGTTGGGGGAGTGGGTGTCAAAGTAGCAAATGAGGTTCAAACATGGGCGGGTGCAAAGTAATACACATTTGGAGCCAAAAATCTTAACTATAAATATACATCGATGGGGTCTGAACTGGCAATAATTGACCAGGAGAGACATATTGGAGTCGTAGTAGATAACTCACTGAAGATGTCAACTCAGTGTGCAACTGCAATAAAAAAAGGCCAACGCTATACTGGGGATTATTAGGAAGGGGATTGAAAACCAGGGGTCATTTTGTAGAAAAAGAGGTGCAGATGCTCATTAGCATAACTCATTAGCATAACTTATTTGCATATGCCACACACCCTGACATCACCGGAAGTGTGTCAGAAGGCAACACCCACTGCTCAGGCTCCACTGGACTGTTTTGGATTGCTAGCTATTGGGGGGGGGGCGTGCAGATCTGTCCTCACAGAGGAGGGAGAGCTTGTACCTGAATAAAACTTGGTCTTAAAGGTGCCACTGGACTGTTTTGGACTGGGGGGCTGGGGGGGTGCTCTGCAACTTACCTGGCTCTGACTGAGGGCTGCTGGGAGCAGGGGGTGGGGCTTGTTGCATGTGCCTGCCCCCTGGGCTCTTTACTGCCGGAGCTCCACTCCTGTGTGCTCCTGCAGCAAATGACCTCTGTTGAAAACAAATCAGTCAGTATCATAATGCCCCTGCATAAATTGATGGTGCGGCCGCATTTGGAATACTGTGTGCAGTTCTGGTCACTGCACCTCAAAAATGATATTATAGCATTGGAAAAGGTGCAGAAAAGGGCAACTAAAATGATTAAGGGGATGGAACACGTTCCCTAAGAAGAAAGGTTTAGCTTGGCGAAATGATGATTGAGGGGTGACATGTTCCTTCTAAGCTGTAGAGTCTTTTGAGCAAAAATTCTACTTTGTGAGCTACTGGCATTAAAGTTGTGAGTGAGCGATTTGGATACTGCATAAATTAGTTTGCTCTGGAGCCATCCTTCCTGAGCGAGAACAAAAATGTGTGAGCTGGAAGCTAAAAAATTATGCATGGGAGAGAAAAGATAGAGAAAGAAGTACTTTTCTCCCTTTCTCACAGTAAAAAACCTCATGGGCACTCAAAATTAGTGAGCTGTAGGCTTAGAACAAATAAAAGAAAGTACTTCTTCACCCAAAGAATCATTAACATGTGGAATTCACTGCCGCAGGAAGTGGTGGCGGCTACAAGCATAGACAGCTTCAAAAGGGGATTGGATAATCATATGGAGCAGAGGTCCATCAGTGGCTGTTAGCCAGAAGGTATAGATAGAACACTATGTCTGGGGCAGTGATGCTCTGTATTCTTGGTGCATGGGGCGCAAGAGTGGGAGGGCT